ATATGTGTGTGTGTGTGTGCGAAAATTATGTTAGACTACACAGAGCAATTTGAAATTGCGCGCAAGAACTGTCTATACCTGTGGTTGATGAGATTCACAATCTCACGGGTGTTTTATAAATGTGATAGGCCTAGGCATATCTCATACCAGTACACATACTGATAGATATGCACTCAAATTCTCCTCTCGCTGGACTGTCATGCTACCGCATCCGTATACAACTCCGTCTAACCCCACGGAACGTACCTACATAACCTGTAGCCGACTCCGATGATTACCGGGCCGGATCTGAATCCGAAAATAACAGTGAGAGCGACAGTGCCTTTGCAAAGATATCTATGAGGCCGGATATTGGGCGTCGTAGTAGACGTCTGAGGAAAGTGGGGAAGCTCAACTACACAGCACCTGCGCCTATCATACCCACACGTGGGGAGAGTCCCGCAGCAAGTAAGCCAATTCATGAGGGGTGGTTATACTTTTACATTGTGTTGTGTGATATATTATAGTATATTATAATATTGTGTAGTATATTATATTATATTATGTTATTGTATGTTATATTGTATTATATTATATCATTGGGGTGTGCGTCTTTTGTATTCATGCCAACTACACAGCACCCCCCCCGCGCGCGCCTATCATACCCGCGTGTGTAGAGTTACTGCGTTTGTATAATACCCTTGTGATATATAGATTATCATTGTCATACTGAGTATATATATTGCCCTTGTGATATATAGACTACCATTGTCATACTGAGTGTATATATTATCCTTGTGATATATAAACTATCATTGTCAAACTGAGTGTATATATTACCCTTGTGATATATAGACTACTATTGTCATACTGAGTATATATATTACCCTTGTGATATATAGACTATAATTGTCATACTGAGTGTATAAATTACCCTTGTGATATATAGACTACCATTGTCATACTATATATTACCCTTGCGATATATAGACTATCATTGTCATACTGAGTATATATATTACTCTTGTGATCTAAAACCCTGTGGCTGACAGGCTGCGAGCGTATACAGTTTGAGCGTACGCGAACAAGACTATTCTGAGACTGAGTTACATCGACGTATATATTAACCCTATCTGTACACTGATATAAGTTTGAGAGTACGTTAACAAGCCTATTCTGAGACTGAATTACATCGACGTATATATAACCCTATCTGTACACTAATATAAGTTTGAGTGTACATGAACAAGACTACTCCGAGACTGAGTTACATCGACGTATATATAACCCTACCTGTACACTGATATAAGTTTGAGCGGACGTGACCAAGACTATTCTGAGACTGAGTTACATCGACGTATATATAACCCCATCTGTACACTTGATATAAACGTGCAAGATCGCTTCCAATATCTACAACGATATACGTTCCTGGCGGACCCTTCGCAGTCACCCCTTGGCTATCAAAGCCAGCACTTCAGCGATTCGTACTACGCTGCCGAGCCTTCGAGCACATGCACACAGCAACCTACACTTCTAAATACATCCCCCCAACTTCCCCACAGGAGTTGCACCTGCACCTGCACCTGCACCCAAACCAGCGCCAAAGAGGGCCAGGGCCACAACGGCGCAAAAGTCCCCTCCCAGAAGGACTACTACCCGTAAACCCGCACCCAAGGTGCCTGCAACCTCTGCAGCCAAAAAAACTCTGCCCAGAAAGGCCGCGGTCAGAAAAACTGCACCCAAAAAAACCGAGGCCAAAAAACCTACACCCAAAAAGAGTGCTGCGCCCAAAAAAACATGGGGTGGCACTAAAAAGAGACCGTCAGCGGCTGTTACGGGTGTGGGCGTTATGTGTGTGTAGGGAAGTTGCTTTGGTAGTACTGGGTTATCACTGTACTAAGTTGGTTTGGTAGTACTAAGTCTACTACTGTACTGTGTATATCTGATTGTGTATTTTCCGTGTGTACACTATTGTATTGTGTACTTGTGTGTGGGGCGGCACGAGTGAGCTCGTAGGATTCACCATGCGCTACAATTATTATTTTGGAATTTGGGCTGCCACACCATCTCATATGGCTATACCTTTCTGCTCAGACTATTCCAATCAGCATTTCTACGCTCATATGTAATCTATATTTATACGTATATGTATATATGTATGTATGTATATATATATATATATCATCCACTTCTATGCATGCTTCTTCCCTCATACTCGATTGCTACTCTCTATCAGCAGCAACGGCGGAGCCACCGCAAAAGAAACCGCGTTCGCGAGCCAAGAATCTACCAACACCAGGTTTGTCTTCGTGACCATTGTGCTGAATTTTATGTGTGCGTGCG